TTCGCCGAAAAGCTCAAAGTAAATTTCAAATTAAATATCGTACATAAATTCCAAAAATCCAGCCCGGATTCGAACCCACGTCCCTCTGCTTGAGAGGCAAACCGTTAGGCTATCACGGCCGTTTATGTTATTACATTATTGACCTGTAGGTATTCCGAAGGTTACATTTACAAGCCAACTATGAATTAGGCTATCAAATATTCTAGGTCTTTTCATTGTCATTAATAAACTCAGTGACAGATTAATCATAACATCTCAAAATTGTGATAGTAATAAAAATTTTATTGTGATAACTAACCTTTATGTCGCACCAATGAATGCCAAGGCTTTTTTAAACTACATAAGGTTGGACCCCACTAGTCAGCATACAACAGCATTGCGTCTACACTAGACGTATCTTGAGTATGTTGTTTTCAGTTCTTAGATTTTCGCAATTATTACACATTGGAACATCTCGTCAGACTGTAAACGAGTTTGAGCACTGCATGCGATTCGTATACGGTCGGAATGCGAGACTATACAAATCTAGAAATACGAATATCGCTTGTACACCAATATATAAATTGATCCATTTGCCATTTAAGACCGTCATTTTTCGGATTAGAACTGATACGAACCGGACGTTGTGCGCAAACGGTCTTACGGGAGATGTTATTGCAAAGAGCTCCAAAAGTTGGTTTGGAAAAAATAGCTTAATTTCCAATGGGGTTTTGAGTTTTTTATGGGGCACGCTCAACATCAAGCACGCTGACAATGCTGACAACACCCCATACAAAACACACGTTTAGTATAGACACTGTGGTGATGCGTGCTGACAAGTGGGATGGAAACCTGATTCATAATTTAAACATCTTTTATTCTGTTTCGCCGCTTCGTATGTTTTTAATCATTCTAATAAAACTGACCAGTATAAAAAGTCTTTGAAGTTTTTAAACGAGAATATCTTTTCCTAACTGTTATAGTTTTTAGCGGGTCTTGTTTAATTTGTGTAGTTTTCAACACTGTTATTAGAGTAAACTCGTTAGGTTATTAACGAGAATAAAATTACGAGACCTCACGCTGTGATGAATTTTAATGCTCGCTTTTTTCTAAGTGGCTAGAGTTTTTTTTATGTAGACGATTTATTTAAATTAGAATTTAATTGAAGTGTAATGGACGGGAACAATTTATTATGATCTAGTTCTACTGTACATTTGACTGGACATCAACTCCATAGTGATGAAAAATTCCTTTTAATTTCACACCTTCTACTTTATAATTTTATTTCGCATTAAGTAACTCATTTAATCACCATCATCATCAAAAACTAAAGAGTTACGCTCTTTGTCGGTGTAGTCAACGTCTTTGTGTTATCTCCAAAGCTTGTTTTACAACCTCACTACACAACGTGGCACTCATTTTTCTTCACATACATATATATCATCGATCGATTGGACGTTAAAAAAAGGTTTTTTTTATAAGTAAATACTGCACATTTGACCTTCATATTACCTGATGGAAAGTGACGATGAGGTCGACGACGTAGCATGCACACTTATTTTTTTTTAATATCAAGTGACGGGATGAACAAGTCTACACGCCTGTTCATAACTCAGAGCTTTAAATCGCAAAGATCTGAAGGGCACTGTCACTGCTCTCGTCACCCTGAGACATAAGTTGATAAACCCCAGCCCTTACCCTTCAAAACCGGAAAACGCGTTGAAAATGCCCAAGTTATAGCGGAAACAACTCTGCAGGCAGGGAATTCCACTCCTTTATATATCACTCCTTAAATCCATGCCCTATAAATGTGGAAGCTTCGTTCGAATATTTGGAATATTCATAACATAGGCGTGGAACATCTGCCTACGTCTTCTTAAAAGTGTCAAGAATAAACACGGGCACGCATGAAGAGACTAATGGGAGTGGAGGAGGCAAAGGAGATTTGGCAGGAGCGTAGCAGGTTGAGGTCTACAGTCTCTGTTTACCCGGATGGGAGACTTTTATTTTCTATAAATTATTTTCCCTTAATCTTCCTCGCCACTAATTAGATTTGTAATATGGGTCAACTACCTGCACAATACATCTCTTACTTGGAATAGCTTTTTTTAAAATAACAACGTTATTTCAAGAACACACTCATAGTTCAAAACAGCACAAAAAGTAGTTAAAAAAATAAAACAGAGAATAAAATATTGCTTAAATTTAATTATGAGTGAACATAAAATATAAATAAATGTGAATTCTTAAAATTGAAAATTAAAAGTAAGATTTCAAATTAGTAATTAGTATTTTATGTCTTTTTTAAACACTTTCTCCAACATTTTCATTGGTCATTTACTCTGTCCAGGAAAACCTTCCATCCTCCTCCAACGCTACATCTATATAACCTTCAAAGAAATAGTACTGTAACCGGTTTAATTATTGATAAACTTATGAATATCTATCTCTTAATGCATCTGGCACAACACAAGATTGCATTCGATTTTATATAGTAATATTTATTATTTTAACAAATCCTGGTCGTACACACTAACAAAACTCAAACTGGAGTACTCCGCAATTTATGATAGAAACTTGGGTAGTAGATCCCACGACGAATTTAAAACAGAGAATACTACTCCATCCTTATGGTAAAAGGTTAATTGAAAAGCTTGGTTCGTAGAAGAATAGATTTGGAATACTAGATAAGAAATCTTTAGAATTTATGTGTGTATGTACATAAGGCAACAAAAGTTTATCACATAGAAATACTACAGCTTCACAACATGGCACCAAAACTTAAAACGTGTTACTTAATACGAATCTGGTAGATTGTTCAATTGATAAGGTCAATTCGTGAGTAAGTTCGTAAGTAATTTTTATATCTGTGCCCCTAGTAACGTATATTAAAACACATATACTACGACTCTAGCAACGTTGAATCGAAACTTTGGTGGTAGTTATTTCGAATTTAGAACAAAGACTGCACCAAATGTCCTTAAGCTAATAGTTTAATTGCAAAGCTCGGTTCGGCCCTATTAGATACGGATCACAGGAGGTCAAAACGCCACGGTTTGCGCTACTATTCATCAACTTGCATAACTTGGAACATAGCTATAGTCAGGTGATATATCACGTCTATCTAGCACTGAACACTTATACAAGAAGAAATTTAAACACACCTTTTATAGCAGAAAGTTGTGATTCATTAAAAAAATAATTTTCTTGATGAATACAAAGGTCGGTAAAAGAATTTTATTATATGTAATATTTTTATTTACAAGTCATGTAATGGAATGAAAGGAATTTTAAATGTTTTTCGCAATCACTGTCACAATTGAATATAATAAAAATAATAATATTATAGTGTAGTTTGTAATTTTCATGATAAGGAAGAAAATATTAGTGAAATATATCTTACAAGAAAACTCTCATGATGATAAAAGTATGTATTTATTTAAAAAAGTAATGTCATTTTAATGTTTTTCACAATCACTATCACAACTTAATATAATAAAAAGAATAATATTATAGCGTAGTTTATAATTTTCATGATAAGGAAGAAAATATTAGCGAAATATATCTTACAAGAAAACTTTCATGATGATAAAAGTATGTATTTATATATGTTAAATCTACAACATTTCTACTGATGTACAACACTGATTTAAATAACTTTTAATTCTGTAAGAGTCTAATACATAGTACTAGGCAAATTAAATACATTGTTTTGTCATACCTTCAAACTAAAAAGTATGCCTATCATATTTCACAATATACCAATATGTCCGAACACAACCCTATTCGAACATAATAGCTGCTTTTACCTTTCTCCCTCACTTCAAAACCTATTACAACTCAATCATTTTAAAGCGAGGTCGTGAACTATGAATAGCGCACTCATTTAACGTCAGAGCACCAATGAGTTAATCATATTACATGGAATTATCTCAAGGTACCCATAAATAAAGTCATTGTTAACATCTGACAAGTTTCTTTTTCGCCCTACGAAATTGGAAAAGTATTAGTGCCCCGGTGGGAAACGGCACGGCGTGTGCACGTAGCGAAATTATTATCGAATATTCACATTACAAAAATTTCACATTACACGTTTACAATTGTAACTTTTTATGGAAAAAGCAGCCATCAAAAGTTAGTGGATTTACGTCTATTAGTCAGTTAATTAACCAAGTTTTAGTGACATCGGTCAGCGGAAAATAAATGAAACCCAATAATCTGGATTCATCCCCTAATTTGTCACCCTTATAGGTGGAATGTTTTCTTCAAATTTAAATGGGATCACTACTACAACATACACAAAAAAAATACAGTCGAATAGATTTAAAAATGGACAATTATTTTGCCAAATTATTTTGTGATTAATATTTCCCACGAAAATTGAATTTAAATGTTGCTATGAGTATATAAGGTGTCGACTTAATTATGCTACACCCCATGGAAGTAATTCCACTTATTGTCACCATTAATATGAACATCTTTTGACTAAAGAGACTTTCACCGAAATCGCGAAAAAGTCAGCATTTTCATAGTAAATGTTCATACTCTTACTTCTTTTTTTATATTATATCAAGTGATGGGACGAACAAGTCGTGCGGTTGATGGTAAGCTACACGCCTGTCTATAAGTCCTGTTCCCTGGACGAACTCTTTCACAAGAAGCTTTACGGCTATTAAGCTTTTCTTATTTAAGAGCTCAGTCTTGTCAATGGAGTAATCGCTAACCGCCTCTGTTCGCATACTAACTTTGTGTTTCAGATACGACACCACATTAACTTTTATCCTCGTCTGATTTAAATAATACCCTCTAGGTATTCTCCTGTCTTTCTTTCTTTCGACCTCTCTTTCTATAATGCTTTTAAGAAACTTGTCGAAACGTATGAGATGCAAACATTTTTCCCCTTCGTTTCGCTATTGCCTTTAATTCTTATAGCTTCACTTTACTAATTGACATTGCTTAATTAGATTCTTGCATGCTATTTAATATATGATGCATCACATCTTCTGTTATACCATGTTTTAAGGAAAAAAAACAAATTATCATTAGTTTCTTTAGCACTCGTTCATATTTACTAGCCAAAATGTATTGTGAAGTATATGTATATGGTAGAATCCATCGGCATATAACAAAATTAATAAACACCATGTATATTTTACCGCACGTGACTGTACATGTTGTCAATGGAAAAAAAATGTTCCTTAAAATTCCGTAACATGGCGAGGGTCTGAATCTATCATCAGTCTTTTAGTTCTTAAGGTCAAATACTCAAGTAGCATTTTAAATAATAGCTTCGCTGCCAGTAATTGATTGAGTTTGTGTTTGTTCTTTGTGTACACCGAGTTTGTGGTTCGGCCTTGGTTTTTATTGTTATGTGATATTTTATGTAGCGATCATGTTTTATGTACAAAGATTAATATCTATATATCCACTTATTAGTAATGTAGATTATCATTTTGTTTAATACGTTCAAACTTTATTGAGCAACATTTTGTTATAGGTATATTTTGGAACTGGAAAACTAATTTATCAAGTAAAATACATTAATGTCGTAAGATTGTAATAAATAAATTTAATTAATTTATAAATAACTATGTAACAATACCTAAATCTTACTTCGTGCGTGTGTAACATGCAATAAAGAAGTAATGTTTATTACTTCTTTATCACATGTTCTACATTTTTTGGTATTTTAATCTGTAACCATTGTAAATTTCCATCGGCTGATTTCGGTTGCGCTCGATCCACGTTCACGCCTGAAATAGAAATTTTACTTAGAAGTTTTTTTATGGTGTTCAGCTTGGACGACACAAAAAGAAACGCACATCTTTTTCAGTCTTATTGCATACATAATAGACATAAAGCATTTCGTGATCGCCGCAAACCAGTTCCGCATCGACAAGTGTGATAACTACCTATTACTTAATCAGGCAGATTCTACAGACAGAGAAAAAAAATAATTTTGGATGAACAAATCGTGCACTTGGTGGTAAGCGACACGCCTATCCCATAATAATAATAATAACGCACACACTCAACATAGCCCCGCACTAGGGAAACCCTGTGTCGCGGATGCCATGGACACACACATAGACAACCACAAATTACACCCAAACTCACGAGAGAAATAATTGTAGGCCATACAACTATTTCTCCCGACCCGGGAATCGAACCTGGGACCTCTGCGTGGCAGTCCGGCATGGTAACCCTTCGACCACGGAGGCAGTTGCAGTACCACTCAATGCTTTAAATCTGAAAGATCTGAGTGATACTGCCACTGTGCCATAAGTTAACACGTTTCAAGTGCCTGTAATTTCACCACATCGAGTATATAATCAGAAATAGAGACGAAATGTCATTTAATTTGTTTGAAAACTATTCTGCCATATCATTACTGTGAAAACTGCGCTTCGATTGGCTAGCCCGAGTTCATAACAATTGATTGTTATCATTCATATTAATTGGTCAATGGGTGTCGTCAACTGTTTCACTTCAAATAGACCAGTTAACTTGAGCTTTGCTATAATGGTCGTAAATTACAAAATTACATATTTAATATTAAATTACCGATGAAAGGTGATTCCGTTTTGAAATTAGATGTTTTGCTGTTTTTCCGACACTACCGAATAGAACAGCACGGCATTGTTAGAGATATTGTCTTTATTATAATAAATACAGAATATTTTTTGGAATATACGGAGACGTACACACAGGTCAATAGTTGGTCTGTCTATATTACAGTGCAAAGGAGAGGTGGTATTTATAAGAGCTGTATCGCTAATGTGTTACCAGGAATATATGGACCTTATTTCATCTCTATTTCTGGTTATATACTCGATGTTTCACCAGCACTTTTAGCGCATTTGCTCTCTGCATCCGATTCAATTCGAGAAATGACGGTCCGATATGTCACAGGAATCGTTTTTGACTCTAGGTGTACAAGCGATATTCATATTTTCTCGGATTCGAATGGACTTAGTGCACAAGCGACATCCGAAGCAGAAATAGATAGGGTGGCAGTATTTCCCTGGACGAACTCTTTAACAAGGAACTTTACTGATATCACGCGCCGACCTTGTTTATGAGATATCATTTGTGGAGCAAATTTTAGTAAATAACATTAACAAAGAGCATGTAGCGATTGGTGAAATGCTACAGTCTAAACTAACAATGAGATTATTACATTGCATAGGTACAAATATTTGCTAATTTATTTCAAAATTTACCTATTAACAGAATTATACTTCAAAATGTAAAGTTGGTTGTATCATAAGGATTACATTGTTTAAAAATAGAAATTCTTTGTTTAAGTTTTGGCTTATGTTGGATGTCAAAGAATGTTATATAAATAAAAGGAAACAAGATTCCTAACCTTTTTTAAGCAAACTCATAATTCGCTCCAACTTTCCAGGTTTTGGGGGGTAGGAATTGTTCGGGTGGAGGCGGTGCAAAACTTCGTCCTTCCGTATTCGCGCTCTCAACATGGTTGTTTGAGTGGCGCTCAACATATTGTGGTTGTGTTGACATTCTGGAAACACGAATAATACAAATTACACTCCAAATTATTCATTGAATCAAGAATCTTCGTTGAAGTGAAACATAGTATGTATAATATGTAATATATAAAGATACTTTGTATGGAAGATTGAAGATAAGTACATGTACGTATTTGTAAGAATGATGTAGATTGATGAAAAAAAGTTATGATTTCGTGGGACATAACTTTTTCTCTATATCAAACGTAAATGATCCGTACCGACGACGGCGCTTATAACGCACGTTTAAGTTTTACAGTTTTGAAATTTGTCACATATAGACGCGTGGACATTGAAACCGTTATTCTACCTATAATACTTAACAACTTTTAAAGCTGTTCATCGATTTGTATGGTGTTTTAGCAATAAAAATTATTGTTATAGAGCTTTAATTTCAATTAGAAATACGGCTGGAGTTTTGAGCGTTTTGTGTAAAGTATAATAAAGATACTTACCCGTCATGTACTTCATTCCTGTATTAGGAATTAAAAACCGAAATTAAACGTGGTGAAGTTTATTTTGTACACTTTAAATAAGATTACTATCACTATATTATTACCCAAGGCCATCCAAAGATCTTTTTTAAGAACTGGCCTCTTGGCGTCTTCTAGTGCGTCTGTTAAAAAAAATATACTAAAAATAAGAGAGAGTGAGTGAGTGAGATATTGTGTGTACAACCTGTCCAAAATTATAGTATTAGATGCAAACCTCTAAAAAAATTACACCTAAATATATACACTAATAATGTCTAAGGACTAAGCACGTTTTTGTTAATTACTGAAAATCCGGTTTTTTAACAAATTTTTTTAACACCTATAGATTTTTTGGTCAATTTCATTTTCATATTATAAAATTATTATGATATTGTGTGTACAACCTGTCCAAAATTATAGTATTAGATGCAAAGTTCTAAAAAAATGACACTTAAATATATATATCAAAAATGTCTAAGGAATAAGTACGTTTTTGCTAATTACTGAAAATCCGGTTTTTTAATAATTTTTTTTAACACAATAGATTTTTTTGTCAATTTCATTTTCATATTATAAAATTGACTGACAAATGCCCACCAGTGTTAAAAAAAATAATTGTAAAAACTTGATTTTCAGAAATTGGCAAAACGTGGCTGATCCCTAGACACTTTTGATGAGTGTACCACTTTTGCTATTGTAATTGCTGTAGCAATGACACTGAACGGGCAAGTGGTATAAGACGAAGAGCGAGGAGATTCGAAATCCACAGATATTTCAGTCGGGTTCTTGTAGTTATTAATAATCATTTTATTTAAACGAGCAAGTATTATTGTCAGAAACATATACAAAAAATTTTTAAAACTAAAGTAACGGGTAGCTTATGTATTTAGGTCGAATTTTTGCGCGACATGTTTCGAACCAGTCCGTGGTCCTTAATTTACGTTAGCGATTAGTGTAGATGAGACTTTAAAACGTGACTTTGTTAGTGTAGTGTGCAATCCTGCATATGTTTTTAATAGGAATGAAGAAAACAAGGGTAGTTGCTAGCCGTCCGCCGCCGCCTGAGACACATACCACAGTGAAATAAGAAAAGTAAGGTAACTCCTCACAAAGTAACAGCACGGCTTCTACGTGGTGCGATCGCCGCGCACTGTGTACGGATGCACACATTCGCATAATAGTCAAAGGCGCGTAGGGATGGCCGGTGTTGAGCAATGCAAGTACACAGCGCGAGGCGGGAGCGCACACATACAAGTTGCATATGCAACGTAGCACCGTTTATATGGAGTTTATGAATTTATCATACTATAGAACGTACTGAGTAATCGGACTGTCAGGGCCATTCGTCGAATCACCAGGGTTTTTTTTTTTGTCATAAAACCCAGTACATCATGACACATTAGAAAACACACATATCACACTGAACGACCGTGATACGTGTGGTTTCCGCATGATACAGATATAAATCCAATGTTCGACTATATTCAATCATGATAATAATAATAACGCACATACTAACATAGCCCCGCACCCTGCAACCCTGTGTCGTGGGTGCCATGGACACACAAGTAGACAACCACAATTACACCCAAACTCACGAGAGAAATAAATGTAGGTCATACAAATATTTCTCCCAGCCCGGGAATCGAACCTAAACCGTGACGTGGCATAATTAACCCATTTATACGTCCCACTGCTGGGTACGGGTCTCCTCTCAGGCGAGGGTTTAGGCAATAGTCTGCTAAACTTCACACGTTTTCCGAAGGTCATGAGCCTTGTTAGATGTGCAGGTTTCCTCATGATGTTATCCTAAACTGAAAAGATCATGGTAAATTAGACAATTAGACTACTAAGGTTTTTTTTTATATTCAATAATTTAAAAAATATTTCATACATAAAAATAAAAATATTATTAACATTACCCTACATACCTGCTGGTGCAGTAGACACTGCAGAAGACGATGCTAGGGAAAAAAAATTGTTCATTAAAAAGTTACTTTCATTATACATTACATTTGAAATAAATACCTGTAGTTGACGTTGTATGAAGACCGGCATGCATAACATGCATCTTCTTTTCAAAATCATCCAAGACCTTTTTCAGATCTTCCATATAGACGGGTCTCTTAGTCGTGTGAGTAACTCCTGCCCGTGCATTGTAAACTGCGTTTACCAGATTTGGTAAGCTTATAGCATGTTGCTGAGCTAAAATAAAAAAAAATTGGTTTAAATTAATTTCAAATACACATCTCTAACGTTGGTGCGTACATCAGGTTCATTAATGTATAGTCATCAACTCTTAATACGACTAGGTACAGCGAGTTTCAAAAAGTATAAAGCGTGGAACACACAGAGAGTAGGTGCAGGTCGGGCGAGTCGCGTGATGAACATACGCGCCCGCTTTTGGTGTGTTGTCGTCCGTATAAGTACACAGAATTAGACCCGCCGCGGTACCGATCTCGACCCGATACGCACCCAACTCGCACCCGCTCTCTGTGTGTTTCACGCTTCAATAATATGTTATGATTATTAATACAAAGATTGAACACTTAGAATAAATTCCTTCAATCTGGCTGGATTCGAACCAACGTCTTCAAGCAAACCGTGGCAGACGCTGAAATGAAATGAAATGTTGTTTTATTTCTCAATCACAAAACAGGCTTAAGAGTAGGGCACTTAAGGTTAATACAAATCTAAAAATTGGTCAGACTGTTTTGTGAGAGACTGGTGCCCGAGATAGGTATAGAAAAATTTGAATTACGGGTCACCAGGCTTCCACTCTGCAGGTGAGCAATGTGGTTGTGGCACTGAAGTTGTGACAAGGATAAGACGCCACGCCAACTAAGCCACGGAACGAATCTTGTACGTTCAGAACCGAACCGTAAATTTGTATTAATAATTATAACAAACTAGTGGAGTAATTTCACAAAAAAATATTGAACATCATGATAGTGAAACATTCTGACATTCAATAAACTTATTAGACTTCCTATGTCTTTGAAGAATTGACGACCTTGGTGGCCTAAAGGTTTACAATATGGACGCTGAATGCGGAGGTTCCGAGTTCGATTGCCGTTAGAAATTTAGGACATGAATTTGTCTGTATTCGTTCTTGTCTGGGTGTTCTGGAAAGTGCCCCAGAGTGAATTCCGTTGCTCTGGTACTTCTTACTCAGGTACAGGGAATTCCCTAGTTTGAGATCACGATATTGCTGTGGTTGTCTAGCATATATTATTAAATGTATGTACAGGTTTAATCAGCAAGTCATTAACATGAATGTATTTCATATTTCATTACTTAAGAAATATCGATTGTTCCGAATATTTTTTCGATTAAAAATAATTAAAAAAAATGAATATAGAATAGCGAACAATTTTGGGCCAAGTAGTAAATTGAGCGTTACTGCATTCCGGTTTCAAAAGGTGAGGGTGCTGGTGAAACTACAAGCACATAAAATTTGTCAACTAATGTCTCAGAGTGACAAGTACAGTGGTACCACTTAGATCTTTAAAATTTAAAGCTCTAAGTGGCACTGTAACCGTTATTTATAGGCGTGTTGCTTACCACAAAGCGCACGACATGTTCAACCCGTATAATTGAAAATCATTAAAAAAATACAATATAATTTTTGAGCAAATTTTATCTCTTAGAAACTACTATACGCTTCTTGGAAAAACATTAAGGTAAAGGGTTCGTAACAAAAGTACGCAGGTTCATTATAGACGTATGGTGTACAGGTGTGTTTTTCCGTACATACTTGCGTTATTAATATTATTTTATTATAACGCGCACATACTCATAGCCCCGCACTAGGGAAACCCTGCATGGCGGGTGCCATGGACATACACATACACAACAACAAATTACACCCAAACTCACGAGAGAAATAAGTGTAGGCCATTGTTTGACAAATGTTTCTCCCGGCCCGGGAATCGAACCCGAGACCTCTGCGTGGCAGTCCGACATGGTAAACGTTCGGCTACGGAGGCAATTAAGAAAAGAATTCGGGTAAATATTCTTCTAGTCAACTGATTTAGGAGTAGCTGGATTTGTTTATATACATTTATATATATTTATATGAGTTAATTTGTGTTGTTACTTAATAATAAAATAATAAAGCATAATTAAACCTTACGATAGGCATGTGCAGTACTAAACTCGATTGAGGAATGTTGAAGCCACGTTTCGGTGGTAGAAGAGGATGCAGTGATGCTTTCGGCAGACTGGTAATCTGGTAGTGTTACTAAAAATATTTATTAAACAGTCTTTCCTTTCAGTGCATAATGGAATTATCTTCATTTCTACGTAACAAGTAGAGGTGTTCGTTTTATGGTTTTAAAAATGGCAAACAGAGGGTTCACTTGACGGAAAACAGTTACCAGTAACCAGTACAGACATTTGCAATACCAGTGACATTATATATGTATGTAGCAATATCTTACGTTTCCCGTGTCTATAATAGAGGTTCGTTTTAACCCAATACACAACAGTACTGTTGCGCTGAAGAAATAGGGATGGCAATGGTGTACGGTCAAGGTCAAGTTAAGCTTGACACTTAAGATTTAAATTCAATTCTATGCCCTACGTGGTGGCCGAAAGGAGCCTCCCCGCACGATGCACCATTCCTTTGCTGTACGTCTGGTACACCTTGGGACAATCAACAAGCGGTGAGTACCTTAGACCGATAGGCAAATCCTGTCATCACGATGGTAGGTACTTGGTCTGTCGTAGGCACTATAGCGTGTGCCGTAAAAAAAAAAAAAAAAGAACAATTAAAAAGTAGAACTCTATGCCGCTTGCGATAAGTTCGATTCAAAGTCCAAAGTGACAGGCATAATGTGCTCTGTTCTAATCCACGTTGTGCAGTTATCCTTATTAGTAAAAAAGTTTTTATTGAAAAATATGTTTTACTACCTCTTATTTAGTATTAGGTGGCATATTGTATTCTCATCGATGGCATGGCATGTAGGTCTCTCAAATTAAATTTATGGAATTAAGGAAAGGATGTTGGAAAATAAATTTTAGCTGTAACGACATCTCTTTATAAATTTATTTGCGCGATTATGGGTATGACGACTGGGCTCTATTAGCAGATCTCACCTAAGATAGCTACCATCCTATCTATTTCAACAGCAAAAAAACACTACTGTGTTTCGGACTGAAAGGAAAGGAGAGCCAGTTACAGACGCAGGTAACTTAAGGTATAAAAGACAATATCCTAAAGCTCGCAAATGTTTTGCCGGCAATGGTAACTTTCACAGTCAGAGTGTATGCATATACAAACAGTAATAAATAGTCATAAAAGTTTTATTTCTTCGTACTATGATAAGTGTACATTTATTTATTAATGTTGGCAATATTTCGGTGTTTTGAAATAATTTTGTTATTACTTACATTCAGCATGACTTGATGTTGATCTTAGAATAGGTACACGTCCTTAAAAAGAAAACGGTTATGAATAGTGGGCGTTGTGATCATGCCAGAATTAGCATTAATTGAAGAAAAATCTAAGAAAATTATATATTCTTTGCTAATTTCATAGTCTGAAACAATTATTCACAGCACTAGGTAAGGGGAATATTGAAAAAACACAATATAAATAATACACATATACACATATTATGTTTGGGCAAATTGTACAATAAATTTAACATATACAAAGAAACCAATGCAATTAAGAGATAAAGTTACCATGTCAATAATTTCGAAATTTAGTGCGCGTAATATTCAAAACTACATGATTTAACTTACAATAATTTAATAAACTGACGAACTACGATTTTAGTTATGCCATTTTTCAGTACTTATTGACTGAATATCATGAGTGAATACCCAAAATAGAATTAAACGTCTTTTTTTCCGCAGGACTGTTTTTAAGGGAGGCGTCCTTTGGTGATTAACTAACACTTAATCGCAATTTTTTATTTTCTACAAAGTTTGAAATAGAATAGTATCTATCTTACTGTCTGCTTGATGATCTGGAAACGAAAAAAAAAAACAAAGCTGTAATATGGTTTATTATTCGATTTAAATACCTAACTACTTAGCATCGTGATTATAGCTAGAGTTACACGATCTCTTATAGTAAAATTGTATGTTATGTTATTTACACAGTTTTGCCTTTTGTACAGTAAATATGATAAAGATACTGTAAAGATCAAAGTACGTTGCTGAGCTCATCCAAACGCTGATTGATGTTTACGTTGAAACGCTGGGTACGCGCGCGTAGCGCACAAGGTCAAATGCTTTCGACAAGTCCAGGATGTTTCCTGGACGGTGAAGGTTCAAATTAATTTTTCCAAGACATAAAATACCGAACCCGCATTGTATCAGCATGGTAGGTACACTGTACCTCACAACCCTCTCCTTAGAAGAGATCAGGGGGCCTACCACAACCTCTTAATACAATATTACTTTAACCTTACATTGACTTTTCGTACCAAGACGCGCTTAAAGTATTAAGGTTAATATAATGTTAAAGCTATGATGTTCTATTGGCAGCTTTGTGACTATTCATTTGGTCGGTTCGTACTATGACGCGACTTTAACATCAAAGTAATATTGTTCTTATGCCAAATTTAGGCATTTTAGAATACACACAATGAAGAAAGTTACAAGGATGCAATGGAAACAATATTATTTTCGAATTTACTGTCTAAATATTGATTTGTAATGATTAAAAGTTAAGTTGAACTTATTTATTATATATCTCTTCAATATTTTGTTTATTTTTTTATTTAATAGTACATAGGAAATAATTTATTAAACAAAAATACGCGATGTTAATTTCGTAAAATTGTGACACCGACATCTATATTCTCCTTGGCGACACTAACAGTTGACACTAGACTATAATTCCGAATTCACAACGTGATAATCAAGACTCAGTTGTTTTATTTAGTTCTGTTCTTGAAAGTGCAGAAAAATAAGAAAACAACGTAATTTTAATAGATTTCATTATTACATACTTTTCTTTTTTTGGCAATCAAAATTCTCTGAATGTAAATAACATTAAGTACTTTAGCATTATACTACGATAGGACGATTCGGAACATCAAAAAAGAAAGAGATGGCTTTATACAGTTCATACAACGTTATTTCTTTGCTATTTTAGTAAGGAATAGACAATATTGGGAAATCATTCGTTCTTTCCATTGACTTACAAATAAATGGACAACGGGTCTAATACAAAATCACGAAAAAAATGTCCCTAGTCAACCTATTTAAACGTAGTGACATGTAAAGGAATATGAAAAAGCTAAAACGTTGAATTTAAATTGTAATGTCATCGCAGTACTGTCTAATTTTGCTTGCTTCGCTGTCAGTCGAACAAACGAAGACTAAAGCGTGAATGACGCTCTGTATACCCGCTCACGCGATGCGCTCCTCCTACCGCAAAATGGCGGCTATTTGGTTTCGCAAATTAGAAAAACATTCAGTTTAAATACAAGTTTTTATAAATAAAAATTATTATTCTGCATTGCTAAATAAATACCCTCCGTACTACCAACAAAAACATCTCAAATAAAATGCAGTAATACACCGCAAATCTTGCACTTAAAAAGCACTGAGGAAATTTTTGGTGTACTTGGATAAATATGATAATATTCCGTTTTAGTGGTTCTAACGTTTACCATGAAATTACTCCTTAAACTATAGTTTATAAACATTTATATTCAGGGTAAACTTAAAGAACGCTACTTACGGTGTCTTTTCAATAAATAAACACCGAAATCACCAGCCCAAACAATAACACACACGATTGTCGTGACGTATTTTTGAAGTTGTTTATTTTTTTTAAATGACAGACCCAGGCATTACAAACTTTATGGTTTGCTAGAGTAGTTACCGAAATAGCAATTAATATTAGTTCTTTTACTTGTTATAACTTCGATATCCGATAAATCGGTATAAAATCATCACCGGCACCTCTAGGTGTGGTATGCGTCTACGGCTGCATGTATCGCGTGAGCGGTTAGGATTTTAACGCCCTATAAGTTCGGACACTTTTTAGCGCGGACCCGACGTCCATATAATTAAATTGTAATTATAATTAATTGTAAGTCAATGGTTCTTGCAGGCACTTTAGCAATAATACATTACTTGGTTGATAGGTTTGTTATGATACGACCATGAGTAATATTATAATAAGCTTACTATAAGCTTACATTGAAATAAGACGGTTTTTTCAAAGGTTATAGTAGGTCTCCATGACCTAACAATTCACTCGAAAGCTCATGGTAAATTTCAAATTACATTTCGCATATAAATTCCGCATAAGGAGCCTGGATTCGAAAGACTGACCTTATTATACCAACGGAGCGATTTATTAACAAAAAAATTACAAGTATGCCTCGGGTACCGCGATAATTTATTTTTTATGATAAGTCGTGATCAAAATTAAACTTGAATTGTGATTTTGACGTTCATAGAAATTGCAAAAAAGCTCAACTGCATTGAAAAATTAACCTTTAATTACGAAATGGTTTTTTTTTTTATACTCACTTTGATCTTATGAAAATAAGAAAATAAGATTTAGAAAAATAAAATAAATATATTTTGACATAACGTTATGCTCCTTCCTACATTCGATACTAGCACAAAAGTTCAGTCGTTTAAGAATGAATCGATTGCCACCACACTTATAAAGTTTAATGTAATTTTTATATGTATGATCTACGTAGCTATTAATATAGATAGGAACCTACAACTACCTACTTAGATCTCCGAAGCAGAACTAAAGACACGAGAAATATCTTAATAATTTTGAAATTATTTCTGGTATAAGTGATGTCACGGGTCACACTCGTTGCTGTGACATCCACTAATATCATTATCAACTGGGCTGGCACTTATGTAGCCAAGCCTTTTTATTTAATTCATTATTTAGTTAGAAACTTTGCTGATGAAGAACAAATATCAAGTGTTTTTGCCCATTCTGTATGGAGGTTGCCCTGTTTAAAGCCCCTACGGAGGTTCGATTATCACCATCGCCGCAGTTGCTCATTCACACACTCTAGTAACAAGTGATGTACATTTTCCACTACACTGCATAACTCGAAATTTGACGAATTGATTTTTTTCATAATGAAAGTAAGTCAAACCTCGTAGACCTTTACAGGTCACAAAAATGGGACCTGTAAAGAGCTCATTTTTAGCCCGAAATGTTGGTTTTTGAAAAAGCAAATGTATGCAATATCAATCCGAAAAAATAGTTTTATTTGCTATGAAGTTTGACTTGCTTTTATTATGAAAAAAAAAACAATGTGTATAATAAATAATCACAAAAACATAAGAACTCGATAAGTCAAATCTCTTCAAATTTCAGCTTACAGATTAAATAAATATTAGCTCTAGTATCTGCTTCTAAATTATAACAATCATAATTATACTGGTTCGTAAACGTGTAATTTCTAAACTAAAAGGTCAAACTTAATTTCGACCTTCTAAAGACTGAGATTTTCTAAAGGTATCAAAAACCATTTCGTATATACATTAAAGTCAAAATTTGCGACAAAATGCCAAATAGATCATTCGATTGGCCTGGTACCACGCTCTTGTTTTGTTTTATAATTAATCTCATTAATAATAATAATAATAATCTTTATTTTTCTCTTTACAAAGGGTACAAAGTGTTATAATATAATTTACATGAAAATGCTTAAGTATTAGAGAACCTTTGTAAAAGACTGGAGTCTAAACTAGGAACTAACCTGTGTGACAGATCTCCAGGCTCTCACCCAGCCTGATAAAATCGTGTTTGAAAAAGCAGTTGCAATGAAAATAAATTACAAACATCAAGTTTTACAAATATTGTAAGCTATTACAGAAAATTATATTATAATAATACTAATAAAGTGATAATTTAGTGGCGTAAGTACAACTAGTAAAATGAAAGAACTAGCAAATATGACACATGAAAAAAATAATAATAAAAATAAAACAGTAAAACAGTGATGCAGGTATGTGCGTGCATGCTCGCGGAGTACATAAATTCCAAATCAATGTAGAAGATCTTCTGTAGTCTGATAATCGAGATTGAGTAACCAATTTGTTATTTTATTCTTACACTCATGTTTAGTCAGAGGGTAAAAGACCAGTACATTATTTAGTTTATTATATAAGTAGCTTCCCAGAAAGCAAAAAAATTCCCAGCGAATTTTGTTCGAAAGGTCACTGTTGAGTAGACGATATGTTTTCTTCTTTTGTTATTATAAGATGGATCAAAAAATAGTTGAGAATGCTTAAATAAAATGACATATAATATAAATAATTGTCAGACTGTTAAAACTTTAAAGTCATTGTAAAGCGTAATTGTTGGATACAAGCGTGGGAGAAAGTGACTAACTTTCAGTATCGACCTTTGAGCTCTTTCAAGAGGCAGTAAAGTAGATGTGGGAAAAATTTTGTCTTGTCAGTATTCAATTGAAGCTTATTTTTCTTTAACCAGTTTGACACTTTATCAAAGCCCTTTTGAGCCTCTCTATACAGATCCTGCCAAGAGTCTCCTTTGAAAAGGAGAGCAGTGTCGTCTGCAAAGGATATGATCCTACCCTCCCCTAATTCGAGATCACAGAGGTCATTTATGTAGGATAGGAAGAAGGTAGGTCCCATTACACTCCCTTGTGGTACTCCATAATAAATAGGAAGATCATTGCTGACGCAATGCTCAATCTTAACTCTCTAATATCTATGGCTCAAGTAGCTCCAAAACAGTTGCAGTTGCAATCCCTTAACTCCCAATAGTTCTAATTTTTGTAGTAAGAATGGAACAGAGACTGTGTCAAATGCCTTAGCTAGGTCTAAGAAGACCGCGATCACCTTTTTCTTAGCATCCAAATTAGTCACTATGTAGTTTGTTAGTTCGTGAATAGCTAGATTAGTTGAATGTCCTGATCTAAACCCATGTTGGGATTGAGATAACAAGTTATTGTTCTCCAAATAGTTCGTAACTGGTCTGTTAGTAACTTTTTCAAGACTTTTTGAGATTATAGGCAAGATAGAGATAGGTCTATAGTTATTTACACAGTCCCTGTTACCACTCTTGTGAATAGGGAGGACTTCGGCTAACTTCAAAACATCCGGGAAAGTACCCGTGGATATGGCAAGATTACAAATGTGTGATAGATAGGCTCTGTCAATATGTCCCTATACTTTTTCTAGATTGTACCCGAGATGTTATCTCTACCTACTGAGCAATCAGATTTCAAGAAAAGTAGAATCGATTCAATCTCAGAACAATCCGCATACAGCAAGACCAATGACCGTGGATGTGATTTAAGAGGGAGGTTTATAGCTGGTGTTGGTTGATATGATAGTGTTTTGTCCGAATTATCTTTACCAACATTGACAAAAAAGTATTGACTTTATTAATTGAAACTAAAGGATCAGATGAGAGTTCGGTCGCACTAGATTTGTTTTTATCGATATTAGTTGCAGCAGTAATTGCACGCCATAATATTTTTATTATATTTGTTCGCAGCACTGGAAATTTTGGTTTTATTATATTGAATTTTGAGTTTTTTAAGTAGTATATTACAGAAGTTTCTGTACCTTTTACCTGTCGTGTACCTTTTTTCTGTTTTTTTTTCTTTCTGTAAGTTTCTACTAATATAGTATTGTTAGGATCTTAACTTTTTTATGCATATTATCGCGGTTTGTCATGCATCTAAGTATACCCGGTGTGATCCATGGTTTTTTAAATTTTTTTGCGATTAGAGTTTTTGATATATAATGTATTAGCTAAAATTACATTGTTAAGTGTGTTTACTAAGTAAGATGTGGCTAAATTAGCATCAGTCATAGTATAGATTATTAGAAGATTACAAGATTTAAGAGCGTTATCTAGTTTTTCATAGTCAATGTGAGATATTGTCTTACAGGATTGCTTGAATACCTGAGCATTTGTTCGAAGAGTCAGAAAGGTGCAATAATGGTCAGTTATAGTGGTATTAATATTATTAAATAAACCTTCGTATTTAATCAAAATAACTTACTGTAATCATCATATTTCACTTAAAAAAAGCCAGAAACAAAATATTATGTCTTCGTATAAACTATAATATACATTAATTTCTATAGCGCCACTATTTGTAAAGGAATTACTTACTTCTGTTGATGAACGCCTCAGGTTCAATTATATCGTCACCTAATGAGAAAAGAAATAATATGTATACTGTCCTCCACTTTTACCAATCTTCTACATATCTTCGTTATATATAAAAAAATGCAAAATATAGGGTAAAAAGGTGCTCTTCGATATTATTCAGACGACTTCTGTGACCCTACGATTTATACAAAGGTCGACCTCGGCGAGACCTCTTCATCCAGAAGTGGTCCCGGGTTCGATTCCCGATAGGACCAAATTGGGAACTGAACTTTTCTAAATTTGTTCTGGGCCGGGTGTTCTGGGAAGTGCCTCAGATTGAATTTCGTTGCTCTATTGCGCATAATACAGGGTTTCCTTAGTCTGAGATCAGATAATTAGTGTAATTGTCTGGCAGGTTATTATTATTCTTACTATTATTTTAACAGTCTTTATAAATATTTGTTCCATTTTAGTAAACAGGGCCCTGTTTATGATCAGGGATATTTTTTTATCTAATTGTATATGCACTTATTTATACAGTAATATATGACTTTCTCACTATATGCAGGCAATTCGCGTCGTTCTAGAGGCAACTCTTTCGTGTGTATTTTGCGCATATAAAGAATCCTCTTGCTCGTCGGCTTGGTTCGAGATGATGTTGCGGGAATTATTTCCAACTGCACTTCCACTTTGTGTTCTGGAAAATCCTCTGAAATAAAAATATAATATTCGATATAAAGTAGATTTATATAAAGATTTATATTTCCATAGTGAAATTTGTACCATATGTCATTCAAAACGTTAAAATTTATCCAAACTAATATTATAAATGCGAAAGTAGCTCTGTTACGTTGTCACGACTAAATCCCTAAACCAATATTGATGAATTTTGGTATATAGATAGATGGGACCTTGGAGAAGGAAGGCTACTTTTTGTCATTAAAATAAGTTTTAAAGGGGGTTAAATTGGGGATGAAAGTTTGTACAGACAACCAATAAAACTTTGATAAATTAGTTTAGCACGGTAAGTACTACTTGAAGTAATACTAGTAGTAGACTTATTCTACGCAGACTAAGTCGCGAGCCCCAGCTGGTAGTTTATACTCGTAAAAGTGACCCATGGCAAAGTCAAAAAGCACTAGTTCTGCCGGTAATTCGAACATACCATAAATCGATTCTAGAGTCGCCAATGGTGATCAAAATGTCTTTTTACCAAGCCAAACCTACTTCAGTTTAGTTGACTTCGCCTTTACAAGCTTACGATTAGTCCTCAATCCTGAGCGTCGTTGTGATAGATTTAAGTTATCGATATTATTTCACCTGCTAGTTTTCGTATTGGCTGAAGATAACTTTGTAACGCCTTTTCGTAATTTTCATTTACCCCCATTACATGTGGTTGTACTGCAAATAATAACATACTCAAAATTTATACAAATATACTACATCTTATTTTATTTTTACTGCACAATCCAGGGTATTTGCCTCGGCTTCCATCGTATCATTGCGATACCACACGATGCGTTGCGTCGGCGTTGCGAAGCCCAAGAGGTGACGCTGCGTTATACTACATATAAAATAGAACTTCGTGCCGATAGTGTGTTGAAACCGAACGCGTGTGCATCGGACAAGGGTCCAGGAGATGAAGCGGGGAGCAACGCATCGGAAGCGCCCATGTGGCATCGCTCTAAAGAACCATGAGTTAATTAAAAAACTGTTAAGAAAAGTTATTCTTAAAAACATAAAACGAATCTTAACTTACGTGAAAAAGAAGAGCATTCATGCTGTCCAACTATTAGTTTAAATATTGTAAAAAACACGAAAATAAACATTTCGTTAAGACTTATCGCATCATTAAAATCATTTTACGTAATTACTTTACAGAAAACATGCGAAAGTGGGTTACCATCTATGAGAAACAATAAGAAATAAAAGAAAAACGTGACTCGAAAAATAATAAACAGTAAATGTAAAAAATCGATAAATTTTATGTACTTTTTATCAGCGGGATGAAAACTGCTAGATACGGGTTTCCGTGTACACCCCAAACAATATTTAAGGAAATACGCGTATTCGGCTAGACACGTCATATTTACTGAACCATCAAGTCTCGACGTAGTATTTAGGTTACCATAATTTTGCTGAATTAACATATCTGCTCAACTGTTTCTATCAGGGATAATGAATAATAAGTGTTATTCTAGCAAATTATTTGTCTAAACATTTCAGAATATGTAAGTTCTAAACAGGGGAATATGTTGTGAGGATCACTTCCGCAGGCGGGTTGGCGATCACAGTTAAGCTTTTTCTTGATTCTTCCACTACTACAAAAAAAAAAAACAATTTAAGTATACAAAAAACTTTCCAATTTTCGAACATTAAGAAATTCAGTCTTGAGTGTTATTTATTTCAAAATTGTTTTAAATGAGCCATTACTTTTAAAACTGTATAATTTACAACCATGACAGTTAAATATGCCAATACGGTAAAACCTTACAGTAATTCAGCTAATGCGCGTTAAAGAAATGAAGATGAACCTGATTTTATCCTCAGTTTATATTTATAAGACGATCACCATTCGCGTGATTACAGACAAAATCAACATCATGTCTTTTAAAGTCTTAATATATAGCATTACAACAGTGATGTACCTTTTCGGATTGTAATCCACAATTACGAATTTACGATAAATGATGTGTTCCTTATAACACAAAAAAAATGTAAAGGACTTAATTTCAAGAGTTACGCAAAGCAATAAGGACCTTCTTCATTTGTTTTTAAGTCTTTCTCGCTAGAGGCAATTGTTGGATGTAAGATGTTCCGTTGTACCGTGCTCCCGTTTTCAGATTATTCCAAAAGATAGGTGGCAGCCGCATGCAAAGCACTTCCCGTTGAGATATGGGGATCGTCCGCTACTCCTATATTATTTATCAACGGATGCCACACACGACGTTTCTGCATACTTCAGAAATTTGCAGTTAGTTTGCATTATTATTCAGAACTCCTTGCACTCTGGAAAGTTTAAAGACTTTTATTTTAGCGTAGTGGTTAAGATATTTCTCTTTTACAGCACGTTTCTGATTTTTGGAAACGATTTTCCTAACACACCTAATACAAGTTGAATAATTTTATGTGACCAGAAGCTCTAAAAGGCAGTTTCAAATCCTATTAAGGCAACGATGGCGCGCAAACGCCACTCGCTTAAACACCTCCTATCAGTACCATCATTTCCTTATAAATTGTGCATTAAAACTCTCACAGGTTTCCCAAAAATGGTCACCAACGGGACCACACGGACCTCGGAAGCGGAACCACCCACACCACATCACGAGTTACCTATCACAGCTTAATCTTAATTATGAGCGTGTCGATCATCATCTTAAATTTTCTACCTTAAAAGGTCTATAAAGAGTCGCTAAGTGTACGCAATTTATTCCAGATTGTGCGCGCCCGCCGGAGTTATGTCACGACTTGCTCACTGCTCGACCACTTTCGCTAGAGCTTTTCTACTTCACATTTTAGTACCTTCGTAAGTTATTTTCAATAAGCAACGGTACCACGGGGTGTGTCTAGGGTCCTGTTAATCCGGTCGTCATGCTTACGAGCTGCGCGGACACTTCTGTTTTACTAAGCTTGGATTAGCCAGCACGTGCCGTGAGTTTCGTAACTGCGCTTTTGTCCGAAGAATAGGTGCGGTTAACTTTTTGCTCCACTTTAGGAAAATATCTCAATTGATTAAGTGCTCATTTCAAAGCTTTGTAAAGTAACAGACCATTTAGATAAATAGTTAACGTTTTATTTGGGCTTTTATTGGCACTCGAATTTTACTGCGAACAAATTGAACCACATGATAGTGGAAAGTTACGACAGTAAAGTTAAATGTTTCTGTAGCTTGTATAAAATCTATTTATCAAAATAAACTTCTAACTATTAAACAATACCTGGACTGTTTTAAATAACTTGAAATGTACTCCCAACACCCCATTCATAGCATTTATCTGTGGAGTCCGAAATGACATAGCGAAGCAGTGTCCCGCTATGGTCATATCACGCTTCGACTATCACTGTTATAACGCACCCGCGGGTGAGCGCTGCCGACTATCCTCACAACGGAGCCATCATATTTGATACTTGCCTAGATATTAAGAAACATAAAAAAACAAACGCTGTTAAAATAATAACCCTCCTATAGAAAAAAAAGAATAGCCATGTAACACGGTTTTTCGTTTTTTATTACAGACATCTCACCTCCAAGACACTCAACCCATCAATAAATCTGCAAAATTTTGCACAACAAAAAACGCTTTTTATGATAATCATCGAAAAATGTAACAGAGTACTTTTTATTCTTTATTTTCATACAATTTATGTAAATTAATTAAGCTTGCTCCATATGTACACGTTTTCTTACTTACTTGCTTATTGACTTAGCTACTACAGCTTCATAATCTGAGATGCGTAGTCGATTTTCAATGAAGTTATTTGCATGCCAAGATATTAAAATTGCCTAGTACATGTTCTTTATCTGTTCAACGATACCTGTATTACTAATAGAATATTAAGCATCAGTAAAATACCAAAACGTATTGCTCGGAGTTGAGATCGGGAGCGGTTGTGATTGCGGGTCCTTACAGATAAGGCAAATAGCTCATACAATTGTTGGAATGGGGAGCTCGGAGCCTCTTTTGTTAAGGAAGTGGTATCTAATGGGACTGCCATTGCCAGTGGCTAGACTTACATGGTGCCAATTGCTATGCAGCGTACGGCCAAGTTGGTGATATCAAAGGGGTGATACTACTTTGTTATCCTCGGTACTACTTTAATAACATTTTGCTACCAATACGGAGTGACGATTGCCCACTCGGCACACGATTGTACGCCTACGTTCTAATTTGAAATTCGTGTAGTGTGTTATTTTCGCTTTATCTGTAGTCTCATTGACTTGTTTACGATTTTACTATTCGATACCTAATGACAGATAGGTAAAAGGGTCCTAATGTATTGGCAAGTAAATAAATTCGATTGCAACAGTTATCACAACGGGCAACTTAACAAATTTTGAAGTTCTTTTGAGATTAAGACTATGCTGTATCTACGTGTTTTGGGAGATATTTAAGCGGTCTGTAAAAAGGAATAACATCTTAAATATGAATACCAAATACATTAAAGCGCATACGTAGTACTACTCAATCTGCTGACAAAAAATCACTGTTTGTATTTTTTTATTCACGTGGAGTACAATAATAAATGACTGCAATAAATACTTTGGAATACTTAATCCGCACGATTCAAATAATGTGTTACCATTTTTCAGCATTAAGCTATTATTATATATATATACTTACGTAACAAGTTATTTTCATTTCACGTGGTGTAGAATCTGAACTTATTTGATAATTATCCTGGTCTCATCATTATCATCATCAATCAATTTATACCTCACACTACTGGTCACGGGTCTCCTCTTACGATGATCACGATATTTTCCTTCACCGAAAAGCTCATGGTAAATTTCAAATCAAATTTCGAACATAAATTCTGGAAACTCAGAGGTGCGGGTCCAGATACGAATCCACGCTTATTATCTTTTCTAAACTCCCAATGACCCAACGGGTTGCAATACGAGCTGGATGATGTTTTAGGTTCCATTCCCGGTACTTTTCGGTTCGGTTTTCATATTTTTTTTTATAATACCAAGTGATGGGACAAACAAGTCGTGCGCCTGGTGGTAAGCGACACGCCTATCCATAACACTTACAGTGCCACAAAGATCCGAAGGGCACTGCCAATGCGCCTGTTACCCTGAGACATAAGTTGACAAGTCTCATGTGCCTATAATTTCTCCAGTACTCTTACCCTGCAAAACCGAAACACAGTAATGCTTACATTACCGCTCGGTGGCAGAAATAGGAAAGGTGAGAGTATTTTCCAGGCTGAACTCTTTCACAAAGAGCTTTACTGCTACTAAAAACGTTACTCTGGTTCTCATAGTACATAGAATTAACTCATTTGAGACCAGAAGGAATTCTATAGTTTGAGACAAAAAGATTTGGCGTGATTATCTGGCACATGTATATACATGTAATAAAATGTATTTTTTTCACAAACACTACCCTGTGGTAGATCTAGACAATTAAAAAATGAGCTTTACTGTAAAAAGATCGGTGGGTCGATTTTTGTGATGGCCAGTGCAGTTCCCTAGTTTGAGACCAGGGGGTCGATTCAGAACCTTACGGTAACGCAGTTGTCGACCGATTTCTTTTCATTTTCATTCACGACACCTGAATCGAACGTCAAACTGTCGTATTCGAAACCGAACCGAAATGACGTCACACCCTTACGATTACTCGAACTTCTCGACCGGCAAAGGCTACAAACGTTATTCAGAACGCAATTATCGAATGAAAGTTACCGAACGTCTTATTGTTTATAGAGCACGAATGTAATATGGAAATCTCTTGTTATTTTAAGTTCAATTTTATTAATTTATTTTAATGCAAGGCCAATGTATTTCTATATTTTAGGCCTTTAAAGTTTTAAAAATGTATATAAAAGGATTTTAATTTTTCTTATAATCTATTTCATCGACTAATTTCGTAAACGCTGTTGGATAATGATAACGTATCTGAATCCTAATCGAATGTTTTAATTAGGAAAGCCCCTTCGATTCGAGAACGACATAAAATCGGTTAAAATATCGAAGAGTTCTGAATTGTGATCCAGGTGTGGGTGTTACAGCTGTTTTGAATTTTCAAATTGAATCTATAACTTCGAATTAAAATCACCTGGTGACATTCATAATTCAGTAAGGGACGTTAAGAAATGGTATAATTTCCGCTCCCTTTCTCAAGACAGGAAATCTTGTTAACAAATGTAAAATCATAACGTATATCGGTTCATTTTAATAGGGCACTTCGTTAGTGAACACTGAACACTAACAGTGGTAATTAAATTTGCATAGAAATCCTTCTAAATTAGCCGTAAGCAATAGCGGTAGCAGATTATAGAATTGCTGAATGGAAGATATGCAGAAGTTAGCTATAAATTTTGCGTATGGATTATCCACGGAACTTGGTGCGATTTTATCGGAGGAGAGTTGGCGACAATATTACATTAACTATTTTGTGTTGCATTGATTTCATACATAGCTTAGATGGGTTTCACTGTAATACAATGGACAGCATAATTAAATTAATTACTCATAATTGTGCTTATTGCGTCAATCATTTTGCCCTCCTTGTCATGATAAATAACGCGTTTTCATTTTGATAACTTTCGAGATATTTAATTTTTTTTCTATGTATGAAAAATGTCATTGACACTGATTTATCTTAAGAATAAAACTGAATTTTTATGTTGATTGAATGTCACGATGTTTTACTTCCATGATATCGATATCTATTTTGTGAAATTATTCCACTAATTTGCCATTATTATTACAACAAAGATCGAAACACTGTGGAAAGTTCATTCGATCCGGCTGGATTCTAACCAGCACCCTTCAAACACATCATCAGAAGTTCAGCAGACTACTATTAATGTACCTGGAAAATCATTAACATTTTCTTTTACCAAGTTGTCCTAACGCATAAAATATTACTTTGAATGAATATTTTTTTTACTTTTCCTATTATACGTCTTCCACTCTTTAGTCTATTATTATTTCCTAACATTGTTTGAGAAAAATACTATATAAGCCTCGGCGTTTACGGGGATTGCTTGAGTCGTGTTAATAATTCCTCACTTCCCGGCCTCTACAATAATGTACTACAAATGTAAAATTTTGTAACTCTCCTGTTTATAGTCTGTCTTTTTTAAATAATAATAATAACGCACACACTCAACATAACGCCGCACACTAGGGAAACCCTGTGTCGCGGCTGCCATGGACACATACATAGACCACAAATTACACCCAAACTCACGAGAAAAATAATGTAGGCCTAAGAAATATTTCTCCTGGCCCGGGAATCGAACCTGGGACCTCTGCGTGGTAGTCCGGCATGGTAACCGTTCGGCCACGGAGCAGTTAAAAGAAGACTGAGTAAAATGACATTTGTGGGGTTGCCAGTTTGCATAAAATTTTAAATAGTTATGTAGTTGTTGTCTTTGTAAAATCTTTAAACCTGTCTCCAGAAATATTGTTCTTTTACACATGTTGATTACACTAAGGGTAAGAATTATAAAAGTCTGTACGCTTTTTATTTATTTTTCCTACGTCGTTTATTAAATAGCCTGGGCCTCTACCACGAGTTAACTGTGACAGTTGTCGCAAGTGACCGCGTAAAATTACTTCACAAATTTGTATGGCAAATTACATAGCGCCTCTAGCGGTCACTGGAAGAAACAACCGTTTTGTATACAAACATTTTACACGGTCGCCAGCGATAACTGCACTGTTATCTCATGGTAGAGGCACACAAGTCATATACCATGACGGGGCAAGAGCATAGTTAACAGCTTGACTTCATCTGAGGTTGTTCGGCTTGTTCATGATCTACATAAGAATTAATTGATAGATTAAGTACTTTGCGGAAATCCATGTTCAACAGAATGGAAGTAAAGTTTACGTTGTTTACTTAAGAATTCGCGTCGTTGTAATCACCTTTTATTTACAACGACGATTAATTAATTATTGCCATCATTTAAGGTGCGGTTTTTCTTTTCCTATTTGAAGTGGGATTAAACTAAATTTTATTTTCCACTTGTAATTATCACAAAAAAAAATATTTTATTTCTATTTTTCAAAAGGACCCTTCACATTTATGATTATTATTTTCTCTGTTATTGCAGCTACATTATTTACGAATTATATTAAACAATTGCAAACATATTTCACAAGAAATAATATTACACGATCTCATGTTTTCTATCACCATACATTGTAGGGGTCTTTAGTGGTCACGATCTTGACCACGACCGTTTTGGATGCTCCTATCGCCTATAAAATGTCACTGATAACCATAACTATGTGCTAATGTGGTGCGCGGGCGCAACTGGGCCCAACATTGTCGCAAAACTATATTTTAGTGTCTGTTGTATTACCAGGTATTACTAGAGTACGAATATATGTACGAATCAGTTCAAATTACAATTTATTTTAATTCAGACGTCACAATTAACTAGCCTGGTGGTTAATATTTATCAATATTGGTTGTTAGAAAATGGTAAAACGTAAAATATTAAGTTCACGTCCTGATTACTTAGGGTACAATAACAATATCTAGGCGTCCACACAGGTCACTAAGAATTCCGATAAACCTAACCGTTACAAAAATTTAATTTTCTATAAAAATAAGTTCAATAACTTCTGATCCCTAGAACAAATATACTATCTCAGTGCACATGCTGCGCAACTCTCACGATTGTCGCGCTGCGCACGCGTCGATAAGCCGCACATTAGGTACTCTCAAACTATCGCGATCCACGATGCCAATAATACCTTTTCGCTATAAACTTTATCGATACACTTATTAAATTTAATATTTCCTCCACACACGATTTTGATATTTGCTCTTATAATATGTACTATTTCAAATAACTTGCTATGTTGTGAATTTTGGTACAATACTTGTTTGTTTAGTATGAAACGAATTACAAAGTTAAAGAGAAAATGATAATTTACACTTTTGTATTAATGCTGAGTTTAATCTCTAGTATTCGCGGTTCGATTTATGTTCAAGGTAAGCTAATTATGGAATTTTACCTTTTGTACATATTTTTACATAATTTTTGTACATAATTTTGTATAAAAAATAAAACGACTCTATGGAAAATACCTTTTATAATATTAAGCTATAGGCCTATAGTTTGACCTACCGCCTCTCAAGCAGAAGGCGTGGGTTTGAATCCGGGCTCGCACCTCCAGAATTTATTTAGAAATTTACCGTGAACTTTTCGGTGAAGGAAAAGATCATGATGGAACCTGCACCTGTATGAGAATGTTAGCTTAAAAAAATGTTTGTAGTTTAAATGATTGTGTGCCATTGTTTTACAGCGCCAAACCATGTCCCAAAGAGTTATTTGGAGACATTATTAAGAAAGTTCGCTAAGCCCTTACAAGACATACAAGGTTCGTGCAAACGGTATAATATGATTTCTTGGGCTCAATTTATGTTGCGGCGGGACGAAATAGAAGCGAATTTTTGTAGCGGTATTGTATACAGCATAATGAACTTTATGGTATTGACCATTAAGTTCATTATGCTATGTACAATATCGTTACTATATTTACGGAGGTGTTCCTCCGCAACATAAATTGAGCCTTAAAGTTTTTAAACTTAGAACTTTTTAGAATGTCCACTAAACTTAAATACGTCATAAACCAATGCCTAAATAAATAAGACACTTTTAACACTGTCTGTCTTTTTTGTTTTTTTTTTAATGGTACCACGTGATGGACGAACACAAGTCGTGCGCCTGGGGGTAAGCTATACTGCCATCATAACGAAAAAAGGCACAACTATGCGTACTTTATACAGCAGTTGTGCCCTTTTTCGTTCTGAGTATACGCCTAGGTAGTATACGCCTGCTCTTAACAGTGACAGTTTTATTCAGAGCTTTAAATCGCAAGGACCTAAAGGGTACTTACTGCCACTACGTCACCTTGAGACATAAAGTTGACAAGTCCCATGTTCCTGTAATTTCAACAGCATCCTTGCCCTTAAAAACCGTAACGCAGTAATGGTCACTTTACTGCTTGGCGGCAGAAATAGGTATGGTGTCTTTTGCATTGCAAGGATTGGTTTAAGTCATACTTTAGTTTGGTGCAATTGGATAGTACGTTTTTACCTAGTCAAGATTTGAGGCAAATAATTTTGTATCTAAAAAATGAATTTGATCGGAGAGGTGAACTTACACAAATGACTCGAAAATACATCTAAGCTTATTCATTTTCAGAACTAGCAGGAGAAGGGGTACAACTAGAGTTTTCCATTGGATCACCTGATAAAACACCTATGGATATAGATGAGAGTGGCGAAAAATCGTCAGAACACGAGATAAGGAGATTGTTAAGAGGGAAAATGATAAACAAAAGGGGACCGTCCAGAATAAGTAATTCTATTATACTATTAATAATTCCGTACGAACAAAGCATAAAATATGCAAATTTTCGTAATAAATTGTTATATAAGTCAAGTGCATAACTAGCAGACTATTTCGTAAGAAATAAACGCATTTCTATGAAGGGTTTAACGATTAGTTTTAATCACACGCAACACAGAATTCATGACAAAAAACACATTTACATTCACGTCTTCACGTTCATGACTCTCAGCTAATATATATAGATAACGCACACACTCAACATAGCCCCGCACTAGAGAAACCTTGTGTCGCAGGTGCCACGGACACACACATAGACAACCACAAATTACACCCAAACTCTCGAGATAACTAAATGCAGGCCATACAAATATTTCTCCCGACCTGGGAATCGAACCTGTGACTTCTGCGTGGCAGTCCGGTATGGTAACCGTTCGGCCACGGACGCAGTTAAGTTAAGATAGTAGCAGTAGAGCTCCTTGTGAAAGAGTTCGTCCAGGGAAATACTGCCACTTTACCTAGTTCTGCCGCCAAGCAGTAATGTGAGTATTGCGTAATACTCATATCTACAGCTTCGGTTTTGAAGGGTAAGGGTGCTGGTGAAATTAAAAGCACATGGGACTTTTCAACTTATGTTGTTGATATGTATGGGTGATGGGCGCAGTGGCACTGCCCCTCAGATCTTCGCTATATAAATTTTTGAGCGGCTTAGCACATGTTATAGACAGGCGTGTCTCTTAAATAGATGTACGAATTGTTCGTACCATCACTTGATATCATTAAAATATAAGATAGATCTTCATTTCATAATAACTTTAACTTATAAACCATAGCCGTATTTTTAACATTAAACCTATTTTTTGCCCACTTTCCTTTAGTTTAATATCCATTACTTTAAGAAAACCTAAATGATCAGCAACTTTTGAATGAACATCAACGGATGATCTCGGTAGATTTACGGTGAACAATGCGATTCCCGGTATAAATTAAAGAAAAAATCTTTATATTAGGGTATTCGGGGAAATGCCCCGAAATTAAAGTTTCGTTGTTCTGGTATTCACAAAATGTAAAAGTCTTAGTAAAAAGTTATTATTTTTTCGCTAATAAAGAATATTGTTTGATATTCCAGGGTCTATTTCAAGGCTTCCACCAACAGTTCGTATACTTTCGCAACAACCATCTCATCTACAAACAATTAAACCTCGAGGTCAACCACCGATCAAGCAATCCAATAAACCACAGAAAAGGCCACCGTTGAGATTAAATAAAATGCCAAATAAATCTTCTTTACTTACAAAACCAGTAAATAAACAGAGAAGCCGGCAACATCTCGTAATTCCACAGAGTCAACACGGTCAAACTTTGCCAGAGGTATGATGGTGTCATTGTCGTATACTACACATCTGAATTTGACTTCTAACAAGTTTGATTCCAACCTTGGCTCATGCGAAATTTTCAGTAATAATTTCTTCTACAAAATATTTCGTAAATTGAGCTTTTCTTCCATATCAACTCATGTCTTCCAAATTAATATCTAACTGTTGGTTCAATTGTGAATGTATTTTTTGCCTAATTCACATATAATTTACTCACTGTTTCGTGTAAAAAAGTTGACCAATCTCTTTTACATTTCCTTGATTCTGTAGTAACAAAAACTAAGTAAATCTCTCGTAAAACATTTCACGACAGTAAAATATCACTCCCCTGTTGTAATGACGCCATCTGCAAAATGACACTTTTCAGAAGACAAGTCGAAGGATTCTACGAACGAAATTAGGCGATAACTTTTTGTGCTTAAATAGGGTAGTTATATAATTTCATATACATATATATATATATATATATATATATATATAGTTTGTTTCATGTAGTGCGTATTATTTTTGTGGCTTCCATGGAATAAAACCACTTATGTGGCTTTATTATACAAAGGGTACGATATTGTGTAATTGTTATCACGTGTTATGTTGGTATTACGTGAAATGTCTTTTTACCTTTATGATTGAAAGGATATGTATTCATAAAGTTACATAATAATAATAATAATAAGATGCACATACTCATAGCCCCGCACTTGGGAAACCCTGTATTGCGGGTGCCATGGACACACACATAGACAACCACGACTTACACCCAAACTTACGAGAGAAATAAATGTAGGCCATACAAATATTTCTCCCGGCACGGGAATCGAACCCGGGACCTCTGCGTGGCAGTTCGGCATGGTAATCGTTCGGCCATGGGAGCAGTTATAGTTATATTATATAGAACCAAGTTTTCAGTATCTCTCTTTACATTTATTTTCTTTGTACTTTAGATACATGAATCACAACAGAGAGCGCATCAAGAAAGAATTGCAGTGACATCCCATACTGTACTGCAGCCAAGTAACCAGCCGCCTCTGTCATCCCCGCTTCCTAACTTGTCTGCATCAGCTGCCGCCTCACATCCAGCTATGCCACCAGGTCTATCACACAGTACAATAATGAGATTCAACTATCACCCACAAACTTTGAGATATGGTAGGTCTAACACTTTATCTAGAACTACCAAATCTACTACCCTTTATGGAACTCGTTGTGCAAAGAAACTAAAAACATCAGCTACTAGTAAGTTGGTAAATATTACCACTGGTATACCTCGATATTTAAGTGATAAATTGCAAATGTAAAAAACGACGACTACTTAGGTTTTCGCGATTGTTACACATAGGACATGAAACTTTTTTTCGAATCTAAATGGTATTATATTTGTTTTATCAAATAAACCAATGTTTCGGGCCTTTTACAGGTCTGACCTTATGGGAACAAAACGTTGGTTTGTTTAAAAAAGAAACATATACGCAATTTGGATCCGACAAAATAATTTCATTTCCTATGTAATGTTATAATAATCATTACAGTTTCGTCGCTGATTTTGTAACAGAGACAACAAAAATAAAAAATATAACTAAATAACTAACGAAAAAATATGGAGAACCATTTTAATTAATGCATAAAAAGATTTTTTATTTGTTTAATGTATTTGTCCTAGCGAACCAATTTGTACACTTCAGTCTTTTAAAGCTAAAATAAACCTTTTCAACTGGTTATTATGGATATTGTTTTACTAAAAGATTCCCAATATTGCTTAAAAAATAACATCACGTAGGTACGTGATGGCTATTAAGAAATATTTAACATAAAACTTTAAATTTCGATATTGTTTTTTAGACAAAAAAGAGATAGATTTAGAAGACATCAATAAAGCATTTGTTGATATGGAAAAAAGGCTCAGGTCTGGAATTGTGAATGAAACTGAAATTGGTAATAATTTTTTTGTAATTACAATTGTATTTCATTTATCTTATATCTATTTCTATCATTCTAGCGTAAATGCTGTCTTTATCTGCTGTCGTCTCTCTTAGCATAGCGGCTTACCTTAAATATGTTTTCCACAGGAGGGTTTTCCTTTTAATTTACTGTTACTGCTTGTGTAGTAATCATTCGAAAACTCATGTTTATTTTTATTATATTTTAGACTGTTAACTGTTGCAGATTGTTGTATATTGATTGCTAATATTGAATTAACGTTTTTTTATAGATGACAAAAATGTTCTCAACAATGACGCACTTAATAAGACATTGCAAATCTTCGAAAAGAGGATCTTGGATAGTATAGGTAATTTTTTTTTGTGCTTTAGTGCTTAAAATGTCGCTGTTAGCAATATAACCTTGCAATTACATAAATCTGTTTTCTACCTAGGAGGCCTTCATCATGATGAGTTGAAAGAGCCGGTTTTAAAAAAGAAACAACGAGAGAAATTGCTATGTGATGACGGTAAGTTGAAATTTCTCGATTACATACGCATCCAAAAGGCACGTGATGTCCCTGACGATTTTGGTACTCTGGCGTCCTAGAGCAACACGGTATATCTAACTCACAGCTGTGTTTTTATCCACCATTAAAAATATATATAAAATTAAAATTACCAACGTTGAGACACCGTATCTCTTGTACTCGTAACGGGTTAATGGATTCAGCCTACGTAGCATGCCGCCGCGATAAAGCTACTATATCCAGATTTAGCTACTATATCTGACATGGCGGGAACCGTGACGTCACATGTTACTCACATCGCGAGGGCCGCAACCATTGGCTGCAAAAGAATATCGCAGTGTTAAACACGGCCGCGAGGTCACAGCTGATTTTAAAACATTTTGACAGTTCTGCACAGTAGTTTTATCAACGTAAAATTTGAACGCAACAAACGAGATACAGAGAAGTAATAAAAATAGTGCGGTATCTTTCCGATTCAGTGATCGCAATAAAAACAAAATAATGGCAACACAGGTTTATTAACTGAAATAAATATGTCATGAGGAGGCATATCACACATTGCATATGATATACTGCCACGCTACGGCCACTGATGATACTTTGCGGAAATCCATATTAATAAAAATGGAAGTAAATTAATTTGTTACTCTGGGAACCCAGTAACGGTAAGATAAACTGCATAAATAAATCAACTCGCAGCTATTTTGAGCGATTTAACCTTTCACTGGGTTCGCTGAGTAGCGCACGTCATCCCCTCCTTTTTACGATATGGGGTCTTCCACATAGGGTTGTAGCCATGCAGGATGGAGGTGGCTAGGGCAGTGATTATATCAACATTGCACTAGGCACATTCACGTTTGGATTTCACTTTCCATTTAAGATCTGGGGGGGCTTACTATGAGCTCTTATAGCAATCCTGTTTAAGCCCGTAAGTTGGATAGCCTGTCAAATTCGTACTATGACCTCACAAAAACAATTCACTGTCCATGCAGTTTACGTTCCCCATCCGAAATCCGTTCACCTTTTCTTTCATAGTAAAATCGTATCATAACGTGTCATTTGCCATGCACATGGCGGTCTCATCTGTCAAAATAAGCAATTCAAAGAAAGTTACTCCGAGACCAACTTTTTTTTGAAAATGTCGAGATTTTATTACATTTTTAAGAAATTTCGTTTAAGTTTTATTATGTTTTCAGTTTCATAAATATTTATCTTTTTATAGCCAATTGGCAATAAATAAATACTATTAACTATTGAATTTTTTTTATTAGTTTAGTTCGAGACAAATTGTAAATTATGATTGAAAAGTTGCCGATATTATACTTATTATTAGTAATGAGTATAATCAATAATAAAACTATTAAAAAAATATAATTATTCTCATTTTGAACACAATTGGTCCTAGTCCTTGAACGCTCCCAGGGTAGTACATCTGTCTATATCTTTAATATGATTTAGTATGCAGTTTCATCTAGCTGTCAACTAGCCAGCTAGAGACAATAATTAATGTTTAATAATCTCAGTACAGAGTATATACCTCAAAAGTACGTGTATGTCCGTAAGTTCGCCACTATACACGACTTAACACACGAGATCATTGACTTACAATTATATGGACGTCGGGTCCGCGCTAAAAAGTGTCCGAACTTATAAGGCGTTAAAATCGTACACAGAGCGTCATACACGCTTTAGTCTTCGTTTGTTCGACTGACAGCGAAGCAAGCAAAATTAGATAGTACTGCGATGACATTACAATTTAAAATTCAACGTTTTAGGTTTTTCATATTCCTTTACATGTCACTACGTTTAAATAGGTGAACTTGGGACATATTTTTTCGTGGTTTTTGTATTAGACCCGTCGTCCATTTATTTGTAAGTCAATGCAGGAGATAATAAAAATCGGGTCTCACTACTCAAAATATATTAAGAGAGAAAAAACCTTGAAAATAATTGCTCCTTATGGTAAAATTTAGGCGCTATTTATAAAAATGAATGTTCATGCGTGATCAGCGACCCTTAGAGGTGGATAATTTTCTTCAAAATAAAATGAGACCACTATGGAGGCACCCTCTTTCCAACAAAAAAAGAATCATTGCCTTGCCATTCCAATTCAACTTCGTATATTTACGCCAGAATACAAAAAAAAAACAGACAGTCGAATTGAGAACCTCCTCCTTGTTTTGAAGTCGATTAAAAAGTAAAACTCATCATTTTGCCTTGCCATTCCCGTTCAACTTCGTATATTTACGTCAGAATACGAATTTAAGTAATTCAGTTTTACTACAACAAGAGAATTGCATGTAACTTGGCTGGTTGCTTATAAGCTCATAGTCTCTCCGGTGCACTAGAGTCATCTGCCTGTCGTGTATAAAAAAATAAATAAAAAAACTATTTCTTTTTAAATTTATTATTATTATTATTATTCCAAATATAATATTATAATACACCAAATCCAATTGTAAAAAAAAATTTCAGCTAAAATATTGCAAGAGGCGCTCACACCAGTTTCCTTTGAAGAACTTTGGAAGTACTTAGGTAACTAATTCATACTTTTGAATTGTACCTTTAAATGTTTTTTTTTATATACAAAGATGGTGTAAAAGACATGTTAACGACAAACGCTATTATTCTTTATTTTCAGGAAACTACAAATGCGAAGAAGGTAACATATTATTACCTTTTTGTATTTGTTGTTATATCAAGCCCGCAACCTTGTTTACATTAGGGATAAAGGAATACGGTTTATCTTCTCTACCTATATATTCACGTAGTAGATTTTAAATTCGTTCAGTCGTTAAAATGTAGTACAGCATTTATGATGTTACTGAGGTAAGTCATAATACATTATAGATTATTCGCCGTCGGTGCTTTAACCCAAAATTAGCCAAAAAACACCCAAATCTGTGCAACTTAAAAACATACTAAACGGTATGTAAACTCGATTTAAAGGTGTAGTAATAACAAAGGAGTGCGGCGGTTTACATAAACAAACAATAAAAACAAATACAAATATATAATCTACTATTAGTGGAAAATAATGAAAAAAAAAATACAAAATCTTCATACTATTTACTATTTTTTTTTATTATTTACTAATATTTTTTATCGAGGGATTGAAACGAGCTAATAATATAGCTAGTTTCGATTGGCTTTTAGTCTCGAGGTGAAAACTTTACTTTTCTCTGCGATTGCGAGGAAAAAAAATCAATCGTTTTCGCACTACAACAAAATTACGAATCAAAATTGTGAAGTTTTCGCGGTATTTCTTGTTTCCAACCAGGCACAGATATAACAAACGCAGTAACGCGGGAAAATAATATGGTGCCACCGTCTATGCGGAAAAGGCGCGGAATTATAACCGAGAGTAGTACTGGCTGTTTGACTTTGTTTCGAGTGAACAAGTAAATTAAAAAATAGCAAAAAAAAGTATATTAGAAGTAATTTAAAAAAATTATACTTGTTATCTCCGAAGGATTAAAGGATTCAATTTACACCTGCTATGCAAGACTATACTGACTTACTTATGTAAGTTAAAAGTAAAATTTCAGCTTTATGAAATATAAAGCAAAAGTCTTGCAAAAGTATTCATATAAAAGAAGGGTCTTTGATTAATTGTTAGGTTAGATTAGGTTAGCTAGTTAAATTGGCACTAGCCAATTTCAGGCGTGATGTTAGGTAAATACTAAATTCAAACAACTTTTCCATAATACGCTAAACTTAATAAAATATCGAAGTTATTAATACGAACTTGACACATTATCGGGTGCTGGCAGTCTTCTTGATTGTGCTGAATTAATTTTAAAATTAAATACCTTCTTAATAACTTATTATGTATTTTTTGCAGACAACGATCGCGAAGACGACACGAATGACAATATCTTTATTCATACAGGAGATCATTCACCACCGTTGAAGATACCACTAGCTAACGTTTACAGTAGGCTAATTTACTGACATATTGTTTGACAACTGTTAATAATAATTTAGACTTAAAACACATGTGCCGCACGGCACATTAAAAGCTTATAAAAAGGAACATAAGTTACTCAGGTAAGTGACGCACGAGTGTTTTTAGCACAAAGGCATAGTTTGTCATGTCTCATAATTATGAGTTGAGTTTCATACAAAAATAATAATTAAGAGCTGTATAAAAATAATTTTTATATAAATTAAACTTTAAACCCAGCCTTATGACCAACGTATGACACGAAGTAATCCTAAAACAGGCCTGTAGTGAATTACAAGATGTCGCTATAATTTTTGTTGTATACATTTTTCATAGTTTTTTTAGCTGTTTAATTTTTTATTAAAGTTCCAAATTTAAATGTACTTGTTTTTGGCGCTTTTTTCTTTGTCATTGTCATTATTTTCTCTGTGTTTCGTTCGTCTTTAGTTTGTTGGTTTTAATAGACTGTATTTCCGCGGGTCTAAAATCTAAAAATCTCTAATTAGCACCTGAACCCCGTTGACGCAGTCCAATACAGGGATATATTTTAAGAAACAGTATAATTATTTACTGGTGTACAATGTACACAGGGTAGACGTAAGCTAAACGCCGTAAATGCATTTCGTAAACTTACCTTTAATCAAAATTTATTAAGTCAATAAAAAAACAATTCGTTATTTCAACCGACATTTTTGAAAACATAGCTCATATGGTAACAACGCACGGCATCTATTAAAATTGCGATAAATCTTCAAAATACTTATAATTTACACTTACACATTCCAAGGTTAAGAAGATCATCCTAAATGATGCTCTAGGGCAGTTAGTCGAGAGATTCATCGCTTCATTAAAGGCGCGACGAGGTCAGGACACAGCGACACCTCTCGTGCTAATGTCCCTGATGTGTTGGACTGATTGCTCTACCTGCTTTGGTACTTTGGTTTAGGGATGGCACTTTTCAAGTATTGTAATTCAATGGGCCAAAAGTCACAAGACCCATCTAATGAAAAGTTTTTCTCCGTCAATAAATATTTGCAATACTAAGGAAGCAGCTTGATTATCGCAAATGAGTCGTTGGCATGAGACGACATATCTTAAGTTTCCTGCAACGTTAATTGCACTTACTCTCACCACCTCCAATCTGAAAAACACATACTGAAACAAATGATGATTTTGCTTTGAGCTTTTTTATGACACCAAGCGACAGAGCGAACAAGTCGTCCGCCTGGTAGCGAGCAAAAACCAAAAATGTGCAATGCCAGCTTTAAATCGCAAATATCTGAGAGGCACTATCGCTGCGCCCGTCACCCTGAAACATAAGTTGACAAGTCTTATGTGCCTGTAATTTCACCAGCACCCTTCAAAATCGGAACTCAGTAATGGTCACATTTCTGCTTGGTGGCAGGAATAGTTAAGGTAGTACAGGCAGTACTTCCCTGGACAAACTCTTTCCCATCGAGCTCTACAACTACTAAATTACCTTAGCTACCTTACGATAAAAATATGTAGGATACTTATATCTTACCTTACCAGGAAAGTTTTAACAAGGAGAAACCATTTTTAAAATCGTGAATCTGATTGGTCTTTATAAAATTTAAATGAGTTGCATTGTACACATAATGTTCACTGCTTACAAAGGTTTTCGTGATCGGTACACGTTGATGAAACTTGAAACAATAATGAAACACAAACGAAACTTGATTTGTTTCATTTTCCATAGTTAGCCTTTTACCGAGGAGGTGAGGCAGGAGTGCCATAGCACAGTGCAGTAGCATAGAATGGACTTAGACATAGTCTGGGCTCCTGTTTCCCAATTTAAATATGTAAACTTTGTACATTTTAGGAAAATAAATGGTTTATTGTCAGTACTTATTACACTTTTCTAACACCCAATAATCGTATGTATTTTCTATTATTAAGTTTTTTATTATTACATTTCATTAAATTTTATTTTTAACGATATCTCATATCGTGACAAATCCTTAACAGTTTTCTATAACAAGAAAAGAAGATCTACACGTTTGCACCTCAAAATCACCTTAAACTTTCAGCAATTTATGCACAACCTCAACAAACCCTGTTTAAAAACACCTTACAGTCAGCACCCTATGTTCTAGGGGCAATTTGCATTTCGTCGAGAGGCGAGAGGCTGTTATTTTGCACCTATCGCTTTACTAACCGTTTTGAACGTGCCTCGCTTTCTGCTGTGCTGGTAATTTGCCTCAACCTTGCTAAGTATTGTTTACAATAATGTGGGTAGTTTATTATTTTGTACTCTAATGAGTACTTTCATGTGTTTTTGTATGTAAACGACTTTGCCGTCTGACTGTTTAGTCTCAAGTCTCTTTTGCCTGTGATTAGTACGGAACACAGCAGTGTTGCTTTACGGTAGCTACCCAGGTGAGTTTTATACTTAGAAATACTTATAAGTAGTGTTATTAAGAAGAAAAAGTACAAGAGTATTGAAATGATTTAGATACTTCGAAAATACTAATGAATATTGAAAATTATAACAATTGATCTCGTATAACTGTACAAAAAGAGTACTTGTCATTTTAATATGTGATCTATTTAACGATATGGTCATTTTGATAAGATTATTTTGCTACCAAGTCATCACAAGTTATAGTCTTGGTGCATAGGTGGTCGTTTTGCGATCTAGTCCTTATGCTAATCAGGTCATTTTCAAGATTATAGTCATTATAATACCGAACCCTTATTTTTACAGTCGATATCATGCTAAGTTTTGAGGAGGTCTTCTAATTTTACGCTAATTAGCGCTTTAGAGACGCGGCAGCCGCGCATCTGTAGCGCTTCTGCAATTTATAATTATCTAATTGTGACTGCAAAAGTGGCCGGCGCGTGTTACAACGTTACTACTGTGACGCTGCAACTGTATGTATGAAAATTAGTTGTGGCTACAGTGCTTCTATAAGCGTCTAATTTGAAGAAAGCTTATGTTTAGTCTTTAGATACGTCATCTTTACGTGCATAGGTTTGAATTTAAAATTTTTAGTATAAAAGGAGAAGAACATATAGTATATATTTTTTTACAGCCCCGCATTAGGGAAATTCTATAAATCGCGAGTACCTTGCAAGCACGCAACCACAAATTACACCCAAACTCACGAGAGATATAAATGTTGGCCACGTAAATATTTCTCCCGGTCCGAGAATCGAACCCGGGACCTCTCCATGGCACATCAGCTTGGTAATCGTTCGGCCACGGAGGCAGTTAAAAATCTATAAGCCAAATGTTCTTTGTAACGTCTTGAAACACAATAAATGTTGTAAACTTGATCGCTTTTCAAAGACGGAAAAGCAAAAACTTTTATCTCTCCACTTCCCGGCAGTTGCTTCAATGCACCTGCAGCATTAATAGCTTCATCTATGTACTTACTTACTATACAGGTTGTGAAACTATTTTACTTTTGCACAAGCCATCAATAATATTTGTTTTGTGTTTCGTCCACATATTTTTTTTTTATAATATCAAGTGAAGAGACTAACAAGTTGCAGTGCCACTCAGAGCTTTAAATCACAAAGATCTGAGGGGCACTGCCACTGAGCCCGTTACCCTGAGACATAAGTTGACCAGTGTCATTTGTCTGTACTTTCACCAGTACCCTTCAAAACCGGAACGTAGTAATACTCACATTACTACTTGGCAGCAGAAATAGGTAAGGTGGCAGTACTTCCCTGGACGAACTCTTTCACAAGGAGTTCTACTGTTACTATAGTACGCATATGTATTTATTGAGACAACGTGAACGCTTTCGCGGAATTAGATTGGAGATATTTAGAATTTGCTTTTACAGTCGCGATGGTATAATTTTGCAGACAATGCTAATGATCTGGATGTTCTGTGTTGTCCTTCCGGTTGAGTCTATTACTCTGTTAAGCACGATATAGAGAATTATCTCTTTGTAGATCATATATATAATTAATGTTCTTATTTGGATCTTAATGTCGAAATTGATTTCACCAGATGTGCGAACTTGAGTCTCATTGTCATTACTAGCATTGTTTTTTGTATCAGCCTGTAAAGTCTATTAGATCTTAACCGGGTGTCTATTCACTTGATTTGTGCACTACTTTGAATGTTTAATTTAGACGTCGTTCACTTCCTCCAACGCAGTTACGAACACTTGAACTAATGGCCATCGATAAAGGTTTTCTTATTGGCTACCCTTTTATGATAGATGAAGCCTTATGAGTCTGATATTATTGGACTACCTTTTTGAATTACGTTTGTTTTATTTAGAGTTCAAATTTTTTCTTATTGTCTAATGTCGATTTATTTTTGTAACTACCGCAGATATACTTTAACACTAAAACGAGATAAAAATAGAGCTTATTAAACACCAACAACCAATACCCCTCAAACATTTAATGTTGCGTTCTGCCTACCTCATGTCTACAAGACATACGGTGTGTTCTGTTTTTTTTTAGTGGGAAGGAGGTAAGTCTCTTTGATTGCTATAGTTGCGGAGCAGAATGGTAAGTCCGACTTCATTAAGAGGCGTGTCCTATGCACCAAAACTTCCTAAAAAGTTTTTATTATCTCAGAAGAATCACGCGATAGAATTCCTCGGTCGTAATAACTCTTGCTTAGTACTACGCTCTCTCAGTGACCCCTTGTTTTGTACTTTATGAGGTACCGGAAACATAATTTCAGTAAAATTTGTTTAGCCAATTGTTATCATTTGAAATGTCTTTCAATTTGTTTTTTTTTGTTTAATTATTTTTTAATTTATTACTTTGTGTAATTACTTTACGATTTCATACTTACTGTCATGCACTGGTTCTGTTAAGATAATTATAACTTTTCTATAAAAAAAACACACCAAAAATTTGTTTAATTTCATCTCTTAACCAAGATTTATTGAAATCAATCTATAAACCGTCTTTATTCCCTAATTTGTACCCTTCGAGGTCGAAATGTTTTTTTCTAATTTGAATGGAACTACTACAGAGGTATTTACTCCCTTTCAAACAAAAAAGAATCATCGAAATCGGTTCACAAGTCGGAGTAATTATTTGCATGCGTAATATATATATAACCAAAAACCAAAACCTCCTCCTTTTTCTGAAGTCGATTAAAAACAAATAAATAAAACTACAGAAACATACACCACTGACTGTACTCAGTCTATTTCTGGACATATTTTACACATCTTGTACTTGTTTGTCGAAATAAATAACCCAATAGCTCTACCCTCTCTTTTTCCTTCAGCGACTGTAATCATGTAAAAAAAAAATAACGTTATGTAATATTCATCTTTTAGGAAAATCCAAAGGCAGAACTCAATACTAACAAACGTACCACAGTCAGTTAAATGGTATCACTTTCACTGCATATAACGAAGAGTGAAGGACCGGAGACGTGCGCGGGAGTGACACGAGGCCATTTTAATTTGTGCGCCGTTTCCCGCCATTAGATACGTCCGCGGAAAAGAACCGTCGAAGCCAAAAGTGTTTAGGTTTAATATTTTCGTAGTTTAGAACAGTTTGGGTGCCTTTAAATTAGACTACAACTACCCTTCTAAATATTGTATGAAAATTAGTAGTGGCCAGGCTGCAGCGGCACAATAGCGCCGCTCTAGCGCTTCAACACGTATTACCGTCTAATTTGTAGACGCCCGTACTCTAGAGTTAGAGTATCTTCACTGTATTTTTTTATTCTTCCTACGCGTGTATTTTACTTTTAAAATGTTATTTGTTATTAAATTTAACATTTGAAATTGACCTTGCCTCGTCGTTGTTTAAACGGACTTGAAGGAAAGTTTATACAATATTAAGACGTGTGGTATCTCTCTATTA